ATAGAGCGATATGAGGATTGAATCAAAGAACAAAATGCCCAAGCAGGAAGCTCAGTCTAGCACACAGCAGACACCAACAATGTCCTGTGATTTTCATAATAGGCAAAAGTGTTTAAAAGGAAGTCCATAAAGTCAGCAATTACAAGTGCCTCTGCTCCAGGAGCTGTCCCTAGCTACCCCAGCTGGAAGTACTGTAAGTTTCCACCTCTGGTTTCCTAGCAGGCTTTGAGAGGCCCTTGTCAGTACTGCCACTGCTGTGTCCTCTGCTCCCAGCACAGTGGCTGTGCATGGTGAAAGCCTCTATCCTGGCGATTAACCCAATCAAGTCCTCTCCTTCGGTATTCACCACCTTTTAAGGCAAAGAGGGCTTGCTCACCTGTGTGGCCCCAGCACCTGGCAGCCAGCATTTTAATGAAAGGACTGATGGAGCAGAGCACAGCTCCTGTTCATTGCCGCCAAAGCACACAGCTGCCCTCTCAGGTGGACCCTCACCTCAGCCTGCTGACGGATTGGGAGACTGAGGCCATGAAGTTGCTGAGGTGCAGGGCCAACCCCTCAGCTCAGGCTTGGGATCAGGGAGTTGCCACTACTGCCTCCTCCAGTGCCCAGCGCAGCCTGTGTGAGGCAGCTGCCCCTGTCCTGAAGTAGATCAGGTGGTGGCTGCTCCTGCTCCTCCTCCTCCTCCTCTTCCTCCTCCTCCTCGGGAGGCTCCTCTCCCCACAGACTCTGAGTCATTAAGTTCTGTGTCATTAAGTCCCCATCCCCCCCAGAAGCCTGTTCACAGCCAGCCACGCCTCACTTCTGACCTCCCAGGCCTTTGTCCCCAGTGCTCTCTGCACAATAGCCAGGGCTCCCAGGGCCCCAAACAGCTGCTGTGGCTGTGACCGCAGCTTGCCGTGGGGCCACTGTAACTGGCCTGGGCCTGGGCCTAGCTCAGCCAGCTCAGAGAGGCACAGCAAGCCCTTCCCTTCTGGCTGTCCCCAGAGCTCCCAAGGAGCCTCTGTAGACAGAACCTTCCCACCCAGAAGACGCTATGACTCTCTTAACCAAATGAGGAAACTGAGGCCAGAGGGGTAAAGTGACTTGTCTGAGGACACACAGCAGGGATGGTATGGGAGCTCAGGTTCTGAGAGCCCAAACCCTGACATCTACGGCCTCCAGGTTATGTCTCACCCCTACCCCAGACACCTGCACTGGCTTCACTCTTCCTCTGGTCCTTAGCACTCAAGGCCCCCAAATCTATTTATCTTCCTTTTACCTCTGCCCTCTTCTAACTTCCTCTGTCTTTCCTGGTCATGTCCCTGGGTTCACCAACTCCCCTCTGCCATCGACATCCCCATTCATCCCCTGCTTGGAAGATCCACTCAGTCCTCAGAGCCCCGCTCTGTCAGGAAACCCTCTAGGCTCAGCTGCAGTTTTGCTCTCCCTAGGGTTTCAGCTCCAGGTCTGGCCCTGTGTCCAGAGTTCAAATTATTTGGAGACTCCTCTTACTTCCCAAGAGGGCTGGGGCCCATCAGATTCCCCAGAGCTTTGCCACTCCAACAGTGGTCAGCAGCAGGGTGCCTTCCCCAGGCTGATGCCGGGTGTTTATCCAGTGGAACCCCAGGGGCAGAAGAGGGCCAGGCCAATGGGAGCCCATGCCACCACACCCCAGCTCATTCTTCTGTCACTCCTGGCTGTGTCCCAATCCCATTTCCTCTCTAATAAAATGGGGACATGAAAGCACCTGTAGTTCTTTGAGTTATGACACAAACCCTGGAAGGTTCCAGATTACTGACCTCTACTCAGTGATTACTATCCTCATTCCTGTCTGTTCTCTGCTTAAGTGACCGGGGTATGGGGTAGGGGTCTGAGACCCGGATGCCACCATTGATTGGCTGTATGGTTTTGGGCAGGTGGCCTCCATTTCCCCATCTCTGAAATGGCACTAACGCCGCCCACAGGAAGGCAAGCTCCACACCAGACACCCAGCCTTTTGTCTGTGGCGCGCAGTAGGCACTCAGATGTTTCAACTGAGGAACCAACCGTCCAGGTGGAAAGAATCCATCCCTCTTCCCAGTCTCCCCAACCCCCTCCCCACCCCCAGCCTGGGCAGACTAAAATAGTCATTAGGCAGATTTCAAAAGATGTCAGTAGCTTATAATTATAGTCGACATCCTTCTGAGATAAAAGTGATTACCTTGGATGCAAATCACTTAGCAACCAATCAGGGCGGCGGGCGGCGGGCGGCGCCCGCGGAGGTGACCGGCCGGCAGCGCGGCGCAGCACTCCTCCCTCGGCCGCACCGCACAGGCGGAGAAGGCGCACAATAGCTCTTGACACGCAAATGGGTTAACACAATAAAGGCGGCTCCGGCCGCTGCTGGGGGAGAGCGGCAATTCCCGGCCCGCGGGAGGTAATAAAGCGGCCCTTTTGTGCGCGCCTCCTCGTTCTCACCCCCGCCCGAGCCCAGCGGAATCGCCGCCTGATTGAATTACGGTTCATGAATATGAGCCGCAGCTCGCTTCCTCCGGCTGGGGAGGGAAAGGAAGTCGGAGGGGCAGGAGGGAGGTTGGGAGAGCCCCCTGGCCAGGCTCCAACCCCCCAGGAACTCAGATGGGAGCCACGTGTGCTCACCACGTGGGGGCCCCTGGGTAGGTGTTGGGGTGCAGAGACAGCGGGAAGGGTGGGGTCCCCTGCTCTAGAACTGGGTCTCCACCTCCGGCTGCTAGCCCTGTTCTGGGGATGAGGCTAACAGTAGCCATGAGGCTGTGCATTTATCAAGTGCTTACTGTAAACTGTAGCCTGCACTAAGCCCTCACTAAATTCTCACCCCGCCCCTGGGAAGTGGGTGCTATTAGCAGCTCTTTCTTACAGATGGGAAACTGGCTCAGAGAGGCAAAACTGCTCACACAAGGTCACACAGTCAGCAAGTGATAGGCTGGGGAGTCAGACTCAGGCCCCGCCCACTCCTGGGCTGGCTCTATCAGCCCCATACCCAAGTACATACTTTACCAGTATCTCAGCAAGAGGGTTAAGCCACCCAGCCCCAGGCTGGAGCAACCCTGAGGCTCAGAGGGACACAGGATGGAGGAGCTTAGGTGTAATTAATTACACAAGGGAGAAGGATGGGGGGGGGGTGAGCCTTCAGACTGCCAGAGAACTAAGGTCTGTCCTGCTCTGCTGGGAAGGGATGTCCAGGGCCACTGTCCCTGTAACGAGGGCCTGCACTGGATCCTCTCCCCTGGCAGGTCACCTCAGGCCCAACCCTTCCCCCACTCAGCACAGCAGGCACAGGGCCCACAAGCATCTCTAGTCCACTCCAGCCACTCCCACCACCTGAACTCTTCTCACCCACCCGCCCAGTGCATCTGTTTATCCCTTTTGAGATCCACAAGGCAGCCTGCCTGCTGCAGGGCCCCTCCCAGCCCGGTGCCCACATCTACCAAAGGCACCACTAGCCCAACTGCATTCCTGTCTGCCCAGAGGGTTCCTGGGGCAGCTAAGGGCAGCAGGCTGCCCTGGGGTCTTGTAAGCAAAGGGAACCAGGAACCTGGGTTTTTTGCAGAGAAGGCATCCTGGTGGGACCAGACTCCATAGCTGACAGTGCCTGACTAGTGCAGGGACCCCTGTCCAATAAGTCGGGTGCCTCCCTTCTGCCCATGGAAGGAGTGGGAAGGCCCTGGAAATTCTGAGGCCAAGGCAATGCAGGGCCAAACCTCTGTAGCTTCCTGGCTGACCTGTAGACCACCACTTCCTTGATCTGAGCCTCAGTTTTCTTATCTATAAAATGGGTGACAGAACATGAACCACTCCAAGGAGTAACCAAGACCCTGTAAAATGCTTGGCACACAGGGATACACTGGGTAAGCTGACACTCCCCCACTGCTCAGCGTCTGGCACTGACTGCCAAGCCCAGTGAGCCAAGGGAAAGGAACAGAAGGAATTGCCCAATTCTTACGGCCCTTCCCTCTGCCTTGGCTGAGGAAGTGTAAATACTCCACGGAGGGCCTCCAACCGCCTGTGTTTGTGGATCTGGCGAGCACTCCGAGTTTGTTTCTAAACTGGGAAGCGTTGAGAAGCCGTGCAAACAGCCCTCCTGCCCACATCTCCTGCTTCTCCCCCAATCTGCTGTTGCTCCGCTGTCCTCAGAAGCTTGTGTTTAATGACACCATTTCAGCTGGAAATACCATCTCCCTGCCAAACCCCCAAAAGCCGCTCCACTGATATTTATTATACCTGTTAATCTAGCTAGAGAATCTGGTGGGAAGAGAGCAAAAATGCTCGCTGCAGAGTGGCCTGGCTTCTCAAAACCACTCCCTGCCCCACTCCACTGGAGCAATGACATGGTTTTCGAACCTTTCCTAGAAATGTGATGACAGCAGTTTCACCTACATCTGACACTGGCAGTAATTGCTGGAAGGGACATAGAAGAAGAATCCCAGAGCCAGCAGCAGGATATTGGCTGGGGCGGGAGGCAGGAGGTGGGGGGTAGGGGGGGTGTTGTCTCTGGGCTTCCCCAGGTACAGGGAGACAGGGCTGGTGCCCTCCACCATCAAAGCCAGCCTCTGGCAGAGGCAATGAGTTTGGGCCTTAGCACTAACTTGCCCCCCATTCACTTAATGAGCGTCAATCATACTGTGCTTGTCAAAATCATCTTAAATACCAAAGGAAGAATGGGGCAGGCAGGAGTTATGGCTGGGCCAAGGCCCCTCACCTGGGGGTTGAACAGCTGGGGTGGGGGCGGGTTCCCTTGGACTTGGAGCCACATCCAGCAGCTCCTTCTGCATTCCCTGGATGGGGGCGGGACGTTCACATTTTCCTGACCAGAAGGTGCCGGTTTGGAGGGTGAGGACCCACATCTGGGATGCTGGGAACTTCAGCCTACTGGCTTGGTATGCCTGAGGTTCAGGGAAGTTTCCTCTTTAGCATCCCATTTGAAAGCAAAAAGTTGCTGTCTGAGACTCCTGAGCCCCAGGCACTGCCAGGCTCTCTGGGCAAAGTTCTGAACACCTGTCCTTGGCGGGTAGAAGCATCAACAGGGACAGCTGGCATTGCCTCCCTCCCCCATCTCATGTGGCTGCCGGGGATTTAGGTCAGAAGACTGCAGTGGGGGATGGGGAAGTCAGCCTTCACCCCTGCACTAGGCAAAGGCATCCAGCCCTGCCCCCTCTAGCCTTGGGTCAAGGCAAGTGGCGTTGCCTCGGCAACTCAGTGACGTCAGAGGCCGGGTAATGATGTAACGCTACGGCCTCACCGAGGAACACGTTGTCCCTGCGAGTTATTTGTGGGAACGCGGGCTGGAATGGGGGGAATCCTGCTACAGTCTAGTCCCAGAGGCCGCCACCTGCATGGCCTGGACTCCACATTTTCCTCTGGCGCCAAGGCCCCTTGAAGATCTCAGAGGCTGCTACGGTGTGATCCTTAACGCTGTCCCGTCCTGGGTCCCCAACCCCAGTTCCTCCAAGACACCGGAGTTCCCGGGAAATTTTCGGAGGACGGAGCCACTACCTTTGTTAGGTTTACGGGTGAGGTGACCTTTCTTCTCTGTCTTCCGCACCGCCCAAGGCTCCGCGGAACACCCACCGGGGACCTCAGCCTCCACTCCAGCCAGCAGTCAGTGCGAACAAGTTGTATGAGAGGGAAAGGGGCGGACAAGGGGCACTGCGGCCTCAGAGACCCCAACAATCGAGGGCTTCTTCATATCCAGTCCAGGCTACCCCGCTGCCAGGAGGTGCTCCCAGCTCCAGCCTGGACCCCCCCCCCCCCCGCGAAACTCACCGGATCAGCCAGGCCGTCGAAGGGCACCAGGTCTCAGCGGCCACGACGCTCCACAGATAGGGTCCCGGCCATACAGGTGCGGCAGAAGCTGTTTGAGGAAAGCACGCCCTTGGAGGCCGATGCTCCTCTCCGGGTGGGAACGGGCGCAGTCGATGAGCGCGATCCGGGTTTCAGACCTCGCTGTCCAAAGTCGGGAGATTTCTCCGCTCAGCAGGGGTCGCGTTCACCCGGGCCGCGGGTCGCGCTGGCGTTCAGGCTGCGCATCCTCGCCCGAGCCTGTGCTCGCCGTGTCCGGCGGGAGGCGCTGCGCCTCTCCTCTGGGCTCCGCTCAAGGCTGCAGCTCGGCCCGCGCCGCTCCCAGGGCGCCCTCTCCGTCCGCGCTGGGAGCCCGGCGGCCGCGGCCCCTCTCGTCAGCCCCAGCTGCAGTCTGTCTTTGTTGCCTCCTCTCGCCCGCCCGCCCGTGGCTTGCAGCCTTCAGGTTTGCTCGGGGGTGGGGTGTCTTCCTCTCCGGGGATTGCACGCACCTGCAGCGGGCCCGGCTTCTAGCCGGGCTTGCACCAGCCCCCGCAGGTTGCAAAGAGCAGAGGCGAGAATGCACCGGCCCCTCCTCCCGCTCGGAGCCCAGGGTGTGGGGGGAGGGGAAGCCGGCGAGCAGCAGCGGCGGCGGCGACGGCGGAGGCTCGGATGCAGCCCCGGGGGCCTCGGCGCTGAGGAACTGCAGGTCCAGGTGGCGCAGGACGGACGCAGGAATGGCCCGGGAGACTGTGCACCCGGCGTGTGAGCTCTCGAGCTGCAGCAGGGGAAGCGCGCGCCGCGCTCTCACGCGCCCATGGCCCCGGGCAGCGCGCTGGGGCTCCCGGGGCCGCAGCCTCGCGTCACTTGGCGCGCGCTGGCGCCTCGCCTCGCCTCGCCTAGCGCCCGGGTACCGCGCGCAGTGTCCCGCAGGCAGCGGGCCCAGCTCTCCGCCTTCCCCGACTGGCGCGCGAAGCCTCTCCGCAGAGATGCCGGCCCAGCAGTGCTACCCGCTGCTCCTCTCCGGCCCGACTGACAGGCGCTAGCGCCGGCCGCAGCCGCTGCGTCTCGCCCCCTGCCCGCCCCCCTCGTCCCAGCCCAATCAGAGGCAGCCGAGAGGCGGTTACCAGGGTGACGCGGCGCCGCATCCCTTAGGGGGCGGGGCCGGGGGCCGCCACGCGCGCTTTTCGCGGCAAAATTCAAAGGCCGACAGGGCGGCTCTCCTACCTCCTCCCCCAAGCAGGGACAGGCGGGGCCTGCTTCCCCAGGACTGCAACTCCCAGCATGCTACGCGCCAGCGCTGGGCGTAGGGGCCCCGACTGGGGGGCACAGGGCATGATGGTACTTGTAGTCCCTATGTTGGAGCGCTGAAGAGGGAAAACTGTATAATTTATTGAAATTATATTTGCATCAGAGCACGGTGCTAAATGCATTATCTGCATCGTTTCAGTTTATCTTGGGACCAACCCTATGAGAGATGTGTTAAAAATAATAACCAAAAAGCCTGAAATTGTAGCTCAGTGGTAGAGAACAGGTCCTCAATGCCCTGGGTCCAATCCACAGCAACAAAAAGAAAAAATAAAGTAATAACAAAGATAACAGTAACTAAGGTATTTGCTGTTAGAAGTACATACTTTACCTAACCCTCACAACCATGTGAGGTAGGTATTATCACCCCCATTTTACAAATGGGAGAACTGATACAGCAGGCTCTATTATTATGCTCCAATTTACAGAAGAAACTGATATTAAGAAATTCGAAGTGTCCTGAATGTTTGGTACCAAGGCATATTTTGGGCAGTGATGGAGTTTTGGCATCACAGGTGAGATCTGTAGAGCACTAGCTAACAGTAACATGTAGAGCTCTTGGTAAGCTACATCTCCTTGGAGGCAGGCACCAATATTCATATTCGCTGTGTCTGTGTCATCTGTCTGTCTGTCTGTCTCTCTCTCTTTGTCGGTGGAGTCTTGCTATTCTGTCCAGGCTAGCTCTTGGCCTCAAAAGTCAAAAGATCCTCCTAACTCAGCCTCCCAAGTGCTGAAACTGCAGGTGCCACACCCAGCATAGCACGGGTATTCTCTTCCATTAACAGACAGGGAAGCAAGGTGTTTTGGCATATGCCTGTAATCTCAGCACTGAGGGAGGCCAGGGCAGGAACAAGTTCAAGCGCAGCCTGGGAAACTTCACGACTTAGGGAGACCTTATCTCAAAAAAATAAAATGAAAATAAAAAGGGCTGGAGATGCAACTCTAGTATAAAGGTCCTGGGTTCAATCTTGGGTGCTGCAACAAACAAAATAAAACAAACAAAAAGTCAGAGGGAAAAACTGAGACATAGTTTCACATCAACCTGTGGTCCAAATCTGAATCCATTAAATTATGCTGCACCTTGCTTTTTTCTTTCTAAACAGCTGTACAAGTTCTCACTGGATCTGCAAGATAGCCCCTGGCTAGCTGGTGTAGCACTCCCGTTTTCAGATGGGGAAACTAAGCCCCTCAGTTGCCAAGAGTCTACCACACAGCAAGTTGGGGAGCTCTAACTAACCCTCAGGATCCCTACAGAAATGCAAAGCAGCAGTCAGACCTCTGCTCTCTCTACCTTCTGGCTCCATCTCTGGGACACCTGGAATCCCACAGAACCTGGGATTCCAGTATTGTCCTTTCTAGCTGTTGGCTTTGACCATTTATCTTCCCAGCTCTGTGCCCCAGTTTCTTATCTGTGAAATAGGTGGACAGAGTGTCTTAATTTCTACCATGTAGGGTTGCTGTGAGGCTGAATTGAATGTATGGAAAGAATACTGTAAGTGCTCAATAAACACCTCCAATGGTTCCACTTTGGAGGGCGAGTGAGGGTATCCAGGGGGTGCACTGATTATAATCTGGGCCTAGCCTACTTTCAGGAGCCAAACCACCCCTACCCAGAACCTGGGAGAGGCACCTAAAAGGGACCTCCAGATTTGGCCCAAGTAGGCCACTCGGCACCTTATCTAGGGCAGGAGCTGGCCCTGTTTCAGGTCTCCGAGCAGCAGCCGTGTGCAGTTCCCAGTAGCCTGGTGTCCGATCTATTTCTCAGAGGCTGTTGTCCCCCACCCCACCCCATTTGAGTGAGGGCAGGGGGTGGGGATATACTTGGAAACATGATCCTGCCACCAGCTGCTTCGAAGCTGGCCAGCTGCCAGAGCACCCCTGACATCAGTGCAGGTTGCTCTGGTGACTGGCTGGGTGGACCCAGGGGCATGGGCAGGTAAGGAGACAAGATTCAAGCCAGGAACCAAAGCATGGAAAGGGAAAAAGAACAGGAAGGAGAGAAGGAGGCAATGGGCTACTCCACAGCCTTTCCAAAGTTGGGGATGTTTCTCCATTGTAGGTCCCCCTGGCAGGACACCTTCTGTGTGTTGGGGGGGTGCCCAATGCTATTTGTGTCACATAGTCCTAGCTCTTTTACCATCACAGCAGACCTGTGGATTACTACCCACATCTTATAGCAGAGGAGGGCCACCTGACTTGCCCAAGGTCACCCAATGACAGGACTGGCTCCCAAGAACCAGAGCCCTTGATCTTGATTCATTACATCGTGTGCCAGCCTCTAGTGGACATTGTGTGACCCTGGGGGCAAGTTTGTCCTCTTTCCTGGACCTGTTTCCTTATTAACCTCTCAGAGGTGGATCAGTAGTTTCCCAAGGTTCCCACGTGATTCCAAAGTGCAGCCAAGGCTAACAACCAAGGCTTTAAAAGACCGGGCAGGAGCCAGGTATGATGGCCCATGCCTGAAGTCCTAGTACTCTGGGAGGCTGAAGCAAGAAGATTCCAAGTTTGAGCCCCTACTGGGCAACTTAGTGATTGAACAAGACCCTGTGTAAAAAATTTTTTAAAAATTAAAAAGGAGTGGGGCTGGGAGTGAAGCTCATTGCAAAGGCCCTGGGTTCAATCCCCAGTACTGGGGAAAAAAAGATCTAGAAGGATCCCCCCCATCTCTGACTGTTGAGGAGTTCATGATGGGTTAATGGTGGGATTTCAGGCAGCAGCAGGCTCCAAAGCAGGCATATGGGCTAAGAGGTATCTTCCCAGTGCCTCTCACATACTCCAGGCAGGTGAACACCCCATAAGATGCTCAGCTTTGGCTTCCACTTATGCTGCAAATACATATTCTCAGTTCCCCCCAATGAACCCACCTCCTCGAGGTCAGTCTTGGTTCTGGATCGTGTCCAACAACTGCATTATATGACTAGAAACAGTGTCATATTTGCCACAGTCCATGGATTGACCATAGTCTGTGGATCCAGTGGCAAGTTGGCCCCTGAATGCTAGCTCCTGCCAGGGGCCCCAGAGGCCCCAGGAAGATGGGGACAGAGGGCATTGCACTCCTCATTGTTCCTGTGTGTCCCCTGAACACTACATTTGATGAATACCTGGACATCCTTCTGTGTCCTCTCTGGCCTCCCAGCTTTTGCGCATGCTGTCCCCTGAACCTAGAATGCCCTCCCTTGAGGTATTGACTCTTGGTCCCCCATTATTCACCTGGGCCTCTGCCTTCTCTAGGAAGCCTTCCCTGTGACCCAAGATTCATCTCAGAATCTATGAATGAAGGTGGCCCAGGTTTTTGTTTTGTCAGAAGAACAACATGAAGAAGAGGAAGGAATGAGAGTCAGATAAACCTGGGCACCAGTCATACACGTCATCTTCTCTGTGCCTCAGTTTCCTCCATCTGTAAAGATGGAGGATTCATGGCCACATAGGCATCGTCCAGTGTGGCTGAGCCTGGAATGTTGGCTCCCATCCTCCCACATATGTAAAGTCCGACATGCTGTCACTCGCTGAGGCCTTTAGCCCCTGTTAAACTCCTTCATCCATTCTCTACCTGCCAAGAAATCACACTGGGCCAGACACTGGGAATTCTGCAGTGACCCCAACTGAGACATCTGCCGTGTGGAACTGAACTTTCATGGGGTAGAGACAGGGCAGCTAGGGTACCAAGAGAGGGCATAGCACAGAGCAGGTGACGTGATGGGCAAGAGGTTGCCATAGGGGAAGGAAGTGTCCTCCTGACAGAGGACACGGCTGCTGCATAGGTGTGGGAGCTGGCAATTCTCCAGGGGAGCGGAGCTGGATCACAGCTCGGGGAGGGAGCTGGGAGAGGAGAGAAGGCAGAGCTGGGGCTTGCACCCTGATAGGGAGCAGGCCTGCCTCAGCCTCCCACCCCACCCCCAGTTGCCTCACCTGCCCTGGTTGCTATAATCTAGGCCAGAGCCTGGAGGGAGCCGAGCCCCCATTGGTGCACACCACGTAGGTTTTTCAGAGATAATTTAATCAGAGCTATTAATAAGCAGAAAAGAAAGAGCTCTTTATGCTTCTCCCAGAGAAAAGGGGAGAGAAGGCGCTCCTGTAACCTTGTCACCCACCCCACCCGCCTTCCAGAGCCTGGAGCCTGTGGGGGGAAGGGGCCAAGGAGGCGGGGGAGGGGCAGGCCATGGTGTGGGGCTGAGGGGGCCCAGGTGGCCTCAGGGACTGACTCCAGCTCAGCTCCCCACCTGCGGTGCACCCTCAGCCCATTTAGCTACGTTCTCTGGGGCACTTGAAGGTGCCACATGGGTGACCATTCTAAGGCCTAGCAAAATGGTCTTGCTTTCACTCTTTGCACAGCTGGTTCATTTTTTACTTCTAGTCTCAGCTCAGATGGCACCTCCTCAGAGAAGCCCTCCGTGACTACCCCATCTGAAGTTACTGTCTTCCTTTCGCTTTCCCCTCCCCAGCAATGGCTACTGTTGGCAA